AGTGTCCATTTGAAGACTGAAGAGGATCAGGAGGACACCAGTCTGGACCAGGAGGCCCGAGATCTCCACCACATGAAAGAGGAAGAGGAGGAACTCTGGACCAGTCAGGAGGCAGAGCAGCTGCAAGGACTGGAGGAGGCCGATGACACCAAGTTCCTGTCCACTGGTGTCCATGTGAAAACCGAAGAGGATGAGGACAGACCTCAGTCTTCACAGTATCTTCAGTGTCAGACTGAGGAGGAGCCTGGAGCCAAGAGCTCAGAGCCGCTGAAACAAGTCTGTCCAGCTGATTCTGGGAAAGGGTATAACTGCACAGAACACATGACAGTCCACACAGGGGATAAACTTTTTGGTTGTGATGACTGTGGGAAAAGATTTACCATACGGGGGCATCTTAAGATGCACATGAGAGTCCACAGAGGAGAGAAACCTTTTGCTTGTGGTAATTGTGAGAAAAGATATACCGCGCAGGGGAAACTTAAGCTGCACATGAGAGCCCACACAGGAGAGAAACTTTTTGGTTGTGGCGATTGTGGGAAAAAATGTACCACCCGGGCAGATCTTAAAAAACACATAAGAGTTCACACAGGAGAGAAACCGTTTGGTTGTGATGATTGTGGGAAAAGATTTGCCCAACGGGGGCATCTTAATCTCCACATAAGAGTTCACACAGGAGAGAAACCGTTTGGTTGTGATGATTGTGGGAAAAGATTTATCACACAGGGGAATCTTAAAATCCACACGAGAGTCCACACAGGAGAGAAACCTTTTGGTTGTCATGCTTGTGGGAAAGGATTTACCACACAGGGGCATCTTAAGCTGCATATGAGAGTCCACACAGGTGAAAAACCTTTTGGTTGTGGTTATTGTGAGAAAACATTTACTGCACAGGGTAAACTGAAGCTGCACATGAGAGTCCACACAGGTGAAAAACCTTTTGTTTGCGGTTATTGCGCTAAAAGATTTACCACACAGTGGAGGCTTACGGTACATATGAGAGTCCACACAGGAGAGAAACCTTATGGCTGTGGTGACTGTGGGAAAAGATTTACCACACAGGGTGATCGTAGAAAGCACATGAGAGTCCACACAGGAGAGAAACCTTTTTGTTGTGATGATTGTGGGAAAAAATGTACAACACGGGCAGATCTTAGAAAGCACATGAGAGTCCACACAGGAGAGAAACCATTTGGTTGTGATCATTGTGGGAAAAAATTTACCCAAAGGGGGAATCTTAAAAGGCACATGAAAGTCCACACAGGTGAGAAACCTTTTGGTTCTGGTGATTGTGAGAAAGGATTTACCACACCAAGAAATCTTAAAAGGCACATGGGCGTTGTAACAAACTTGACTGTAGATGGGCAGATTTTCCCATCCTACAGGACATACGAAAACTCTGCCCCAGCAATAAAACTGGTTCGCATCACATAGGAGACTGGAAGCTGGTTCCAATTTGTTGGTGTCATTGACTGTGATTTTGTGGCCCCAGCTGATATCTGCGTTGAATATGGTATTGGTTATAACATAAAAGAAACTGAGTTTTCTTTTTTATGTAAACTCCAAATGTTCTTGTGTGAGACAACCTTATAGGTAGTAGCAACCTTGCAGGTAGTAGCAACCTTGCGATGATAAGCTGCCTGGCTGCAGAAACTTAATTGTCACAACACAAGCAGCACTTTTCTGATTGGGCTTGTTGCTCGGATGAATTCCATACAAACTGGCTGGCTGTTGAGAGGGGAAGTGATGTTTAGGAAGTTATATCAGAAAATGTTTTATATAAAATATCCAGCTGTTTACTTATTACATAATACACACTGTCCTTTAAATTTTCTATTCTTGATAACATCTTACGTCAACTAAATACTGTGCAAAACAAGTATGCTCTTAAGTGGCCAGTGTCGCGGCTTTTATTGGTTTTTCAGACAAAATGTAACACTTCCTCAAAGAGCCAGAGTATACTAGTTTATAAAAATGTCTCAGTACAATAAAATCTGAGGGTTTAAGGGTTTAATGTAGCTGCCACTATAACTGCAGGTTGTTGTTATTTGGGAGGTTTTGGGGTCTTATTCTGAATTAAAAACATGAAAGAGGGAGGTCTGCAGGGAACTCGGTTCACAGGTTCATGGTAGTCAATTACTGAGTGAATATCTCCATCATAAAACCTCAAGCAGTGTTTGGAGCTTTAACATGTTTCAAATATTCCACCTTAGTGTGAGAGTTTAAGCTTTATTCCTATGGCCAGGGGTTAGCATATTGTGGCCTTCATACACAAGCAATAAACCTGGTTCGCATCACATAGGAGACTGGGAGCTAGTTCCAGAGCTTGTTGGTGTCATTGGCTGTGATTCTGTGGTCCCAGCTGATATCTGCATAGAATATGGTACTGGTTATAACGTAAAAGAAACTTGAGTTTTTTCTTTTTTATGTAAACTCCAAATTAATGTTGTGTGAGACAACCTTACCAAAATTTTACAATATGTTGGTTGTTTTTACTGAAATTTGTGTAAATCTAATCCAGATAGCTCAACAGAAAGTGATGATTTCTTAAAGGACATGTCAGGATCATTCTTGTTCTTGATTGTCTGTCAAATACTATATTCTGTTTGCTTTTATGTATTTTAGAATTTGTTTCTCAAGATATGTGTGTGGTGTTCTTATGGTGTTTTGTTGCTGTTGGAACACAGGAATTTCCCCATTATGAGATTAATAAAGTCCTACCTACTTACCTTAAAGGACGTGTCAGGTGATCTGAAAATTAAATAAATTAAATGAAAGTAGCAAGTTACTGTGTGATCAGAAAATCAACCTGACAGAGGTGCAAATTGTATTAAGTCCCTTAAGGACAACAAGTCACTCTGATGGTTTAATAAATTAATTTTATAAGACCTTTAGTAATCACTTAGCCCCATTGTTGGTTGCTATGTTTGAGGAAACCATAAAAAAAGATGATCTGCTTACACTCAAGCTCTTATTAAATTGATCCCTAAGCTGAGAAAGGCTACACTGAGCTTTGAGAATTGGACACCAATCAGCCTATTAAATAGAAAGAAGAAAGTCCCTTTTGGCTTTTCTCATTTAGGGGTCGCCACAGCGAATCGTCACACTGACGACTCACATGTTGACACGTTTTATGCCAGATGCCTTTCCTGACACAACCCTCATTCAAACCTGGGCCGCAGCGGCTTAACCACTAGCATACCAGGAACAAATCAGCCTATTAAATAGTAATGCAAAAATATTTGCACTGACATTCACCTGATGCAAAAATATTTGCACTGACATTCACCAAGAGGTTAAAACTGTATTATATAAGATTATTGATGATGAACAGTCTGGTTTTATGTCCATCAGAAATATATGCAATAATATCAGACTTGTCATAGATGTGATTGATTATAAGAATGTTATAAAGGACAACAGGTTTGTTGTGTTTGATTTCTGTAAAGCATTTGATATGATTGGTCACCAGTTCATGTTCAAAGCTATAGAGGTTTTTGGATTTGGGGAGCAATTTTTAAAAACACTAAAGACTTTATATAATGGCTGCAATAGTTCTGTGAAACTAGGTAGTGGCACTACATCTAGATTTGTAATTGGTTGTGGAATAAGACCAGGTTGTCCCTCTAGTCCCTTTCTGGTTGTCCTTGTTACGCAAGCTGTGGCATCTCATATTAAAAGAAGTCAATTCCAAGGTAGAGAAGCCCTCAGCAGATAAATCAACTTATGCTAGGTGGCATAAAATACAACAGTTTTTATTTGAAACAGATTTGAGGTTAATAAAGTAATAGACTATACTTATGAATTTTCTGTGGCATCAGGTTTAAAAATGAATGTAAACAAGTCCGTACTACTACTCCTGAAGGAATGCAACTTAACAGATGTGAACAGTGTCCCAGTTAAAACCTGTTCCATATTTAGGTGTTATCATTGACAAGAATCAAAGAAATCACAGT